ATTGCAATTAAAAAATTTTATTTAATATTTTTAAAATACAAATAAACACAGCCAGCGTGCGCGAAAATGATCATGTGATTGTACCCAGAACTCATCTTCTGATTGAGGTAGTTGGAATCAAGTATTGCAGAAATAGGTACTCGACGTTCATTCCGGTTGTCTTTTTTATTATTGTATAATAACATTTATACTTTAACAATGATTTTCATGTCTTACGGTTTTACGATCATCAAGTCAATTATCCCTATATTTTCCTATTAATACAGTCTTACTCTATTACTACATGAAGAATTTATTGCCAACTATTTATTTGTTAAATAATAACAAGATTTAAAGGTTCATCTCAATGAAACTTGAAGACATGCAAATTCTAAAATCTTGTTTTACAATGACTACAGGCATGATCTAATATATAAATTTTCTACTAAATAGTTTTCAATCCAAGAGCAATAAATTCATGGTGGAACCAATAGATAACGTTTATTAGTTTAACAGAAATGCCGCTATCTCATAATAGGGCTTTCCTCTATATAATACGTCGCGTATTAAGTGCCTCAACATTCGTTGAATGAAATTTTTCACACGTTATGTTTAGATGCTATTATATGTATAAACATAAAATAAATGATTAGACAAGTAGAGAAGAACAGCTATACAAATAATCAGTAATTAATATTAACATTTCATATCATACACACGGTACCATATTATTTTATAAATTATTGATAAATATATAAATTAGTAATAGATATAATTTAAATAATTTATATAATTATATATAATTATATATAAAATATGTCTATATATATAAAACATTTCTTCCCGGATAATAATAATTTATATATTAATAAATAAATCATATTTTCTTAATCGATCTCGCATTTTATAAAAGATTCATCAGATTCAGTTATACAACATTTACTAATAAGAAAATCGCGTCAATTTATTCAACTCAATAAAAATTACGTTTTTAATTAATTGTTTTTTATACGACATACGTCAATCGCTGTTGCTTTATGTAAGGCACATATCGCGCCGCATACATTTGCAGATATATATTTTATCGGATAGTAGGTTCTCCTATTTCAAATCTTCAAATCTTTTGTAATTTATGAAAATTGTAAAATAATAATGTTGTAAGAAGTGAAGTGCCACAATTTACTACAAACATTTCGAACCTCTCAACGTGCGTGACGAGGTGGCCGAGTGGTTAAGGCGTTGGACTGCTAATCCAATGTGCTCTGCACGCGTGGGTTCGAATCCCATCCTCGTCGAACTTTTTTTTATTTTTTTTTTAATAGAAAGCAAATTTAATGTTACATAAAACGGTTAATAATTCAATATTTATACAACTATATATTACATAAAATTCAATATTTATACAATAAACAAACTCAACAAATTCTGCAGAAGTATATATAAGTTTCATAGAAACAAATTTTTTGACATTCGAGATTTCTATTTGTTTAACTTACATTTATTTCATTGAAACAATTTAATTTTAAATAAAATACTATTTTGTTTAATATCAATTTTTTTAATTTTATTGTATTAAAACTATATTATTTGGTAAAAAAAAACACGATTATTTGAAACAATATTTTTCGATGAAATAACATTTTCTTTGATTATACTAAATATTATTCTATGAAATAAAATGTTTCTTTGCAAGAAAATATTTAGTTTTAGGTATAGGATAAGATGTATATAATTTAAGGTAAGATATATTAAAAAGTTTTAAATGCACACTTTTTAATTTAAAGATCCATTTAGTTAGACTATTTCAATGAATATATTTCTTTAAATTTAATAAAATTTAAATTAAATATAAATTTCTTTAAAGGAAACTTTATCACAAAATTAACATTTTATGATATTTCGATATTAATTATACATAATTAATACATAGGTAATAAATAAATAGGTTTTGTAAAAAAATAAATTCTTAATAAAAATGTCATTGCATATTTATGATGATATATGTTAATTTCAACGTTAAAAGAATCTTTGTGGTAGCATCTTTATCATATATATGAGCTTGTCATATATATGAGCCTCATGCCTGAGCGCAGGAAATATCAGCTTTGGAATTAATGAATTTAATCGCTACTAAAAATATAATCTCGATATTTTTGTATTAGGATTTTTCTAAATTACCTCAAGAATACGTTAAAAAGATTTGTGATAATAATGAGACATGTATATTACAATAAGAATGTTAATTTTAAGAACTGTTAATAATAAGAACTGTTTTGCATATGATATTTTTTATATTTTTGTAAGAGGTCAAGAGTTATCGTTACATTTATTAAAAATAAAGAATTTAGGGTAATATTGGGTCACGGACGGAAAGACGGACGAATGTAACCTCCGCTATAATGTACTTTTACAAAGGAAAAAATTCGACGTCTTATGTGAAGGGGTATATCTGTCCGTGACCTAGCGCCATCACCTAAAGCGCAGTGGTGACCAACTTTATGACAAAGGGCTGATCATGCCGACCTCTTGTGTCATACAAATTTTGTATGACTTTTGCTAATTTCTCGTAAATAACTCGATTGAGTCTTTGAAGAGACATTTATTAAGATGATTTCTTGAAAAAAAAAAATTGAAAAAACATTGTAACAGCAGGTTTAAACGTAGCATGATTCGGTATCTTTCATAAATGTTGAAACTGACAATTATATTGAAATGCCCTACGTTTGACGTATTGAAGATCCAAATTGCATAAGTATTTATAAAGAGTAACAACTTATGAAGATAATACTCGTAAAATGTTACTCTCTCCAATATAACAATTTACCTGTCTTCTACCGATCATATTAAAAATCAATTAAACATAATTTATAAATGGGATATTGAGTAGAGATCATTTATTTTCTCTCGTATCTGTTATCGTTTCATTTATTGGCTTTAATCTGATATAATTATGCTGATATTACTGTCCGAGTATTTATAAAAAAGAAAGATTAAGTTCTCCTGTAAATTTATTTAAAATTTTCCATTTGTATGTGTCATTTGTATTTGCTCGACGTTAAACTTAATCGCATTATTTGTTTCATTGAGATATAATGATCAATTCTTAAAATTGGCGAGACAAAGAGCGAATTTATATACGCGATGATCTCTTTGTCTCATTTTAATGTATAACAGAAACTATTGTTTTTCTTAAAAATACATGCACGGAGAGAAAAAATTCGCCATGGACGCTAATTCCATTTACGCCATATATAAGCAAATTTGCAAATATAGGAATAGCAAATTATTTGCAGGTGTAACAAATATTTATTCTTTTTTGTATTCGCTACAAAAATTATTTACAACAAATGCAAAATATTTATCAAATATACAAATTTGTTTGCTATAAATATCAAACAAATTTGACAATCAAATTTTGTAATTCTTTTGCATTCGTAGGAAATCTTTTTCCTCAGTGTGACGTTTAAATTAAAATTTAAATTTATTCTCCTCGAGGCTGCGAAATTGTCCACACGCCCATTTTTATATCTATAATAATAACATAAGCAGAGCACCTAAAAAGTGTTACGTATCTCCACTGTTACACATATGACACCGCTTATGCCGATACAGGAATTTGGAGAAAGTGCGTCCTTGGCGAGTCCTACAATATCATGGTGAGTTTATATAAATGTATCATATATTACGTAAGAAGAGACTTACAAAAGTATACAGAGAATCGCACACCACTTAATTTCCTTCTTTTTAAATGAATTAGATTAATCGAACGTACACTGTCATACTTGCGTATTCATATGTAATTTGTATGTAATTTGTAAGTAATTAAAATAGAGTAAGATTTGATTTACACGATATTTTTTTTATTAGCGTGCTAATCTTCTAGCTAGAAAAGGAGCAATTAAAAAATATTATATAAAATATAAAATTCTATAAATTTTTGAGGAGAAAAAAAATAACGAAAATATTATTTATATTGTAATATAATTATATCTTTTATATTATAATATAATTATATCTTTTTAGCTATCTAGTTTGTTAGAAGATTAGCACACTAGTTGCTAATAAAAAAGCATCATGTAAGTCAAGGCTAAAGCGTGTAAAGTTAAAATAATTTCAGTTAACATAAAAGTTAACATAATTTCTTGAATAATAAACATGCATTTACTATGCCTGCTCTGATACATGAGTGTATCTTAGAAGTTGATTCACTTAATAGTGCAAACATTTTGAAGTATTCTTTGATTGATCAGTTCGTAAAATTCTTTCTTCCGATCAGTCAACGAAGCATTTACAGCGTTAAAGATTTCACTTTTACAATATTCATGCATTATTAGAGCAAGCATAATAGCATGGTTATCATTCGAGGAATTATGCATCGTGATTCTAGCTTAAGAGAAAAAAATTGCTTAAAAGAAAAAACTGTTTGTAACTTTAACGTCAAAAAAGAATTCAGTTTATTCACGTAACTTCGAAAAATTGCCATAATCTCTCATTTTTATACAAGAAAAAGTTGCTAATTGAACGCAGGATTTAATTATGCAAGTATATTTAAAGAGAAGTATTCCATTTGTAATGTTACAGATTACAGGTATGTTTATTCAAAGAAAGGGGGGCGCACAAGAGTAACAGAATAACCGATGAAATCAAAAGTGAATCATAATGTTATCGATACACGTTTACCTTATTTGTAAATATTGCGCGTATTTGTCGAATGCATTGCACCGACGCGATACCAAGAGTAAAGAATAATTAGCAGTAACCGTCGCGCGCCTTCTCTAATAAACCGTACAGCACCAGATCTGCAATTTGAATTTCGTGAGGAGCCACACCCGTTGCCCGTTCGTGTTCCCCCTCGAGCGATCATTCATTCCCTCTCTTTTGCGCCTCCTTTCGTATGTTCCTTTCTTAATGATATTCCACAAAGAAGTCCCATATACATCTCCCTCTCTCGACCATGCATCGACCATACCCAATCACCTCCAGCAAGGTAAATGCTCTCAAAATTCGATTGAATCCCCTACAACTTTACCCGTGTATAAATAGTGGCCGACAACTACCATTTCAGCAGAAACCCAGTAGTTGTTCCGCTTCAGACGAGCAAAATGGCATTCAAGGTAAGCACGTCGACTTTGTCGGGGAAATATGTCAGTATTTTCTGGTAACGGTTGGAAAGAAAATAATAAATTGCAAATTTCAAAATTTTAATGATAGCATTTTGAGAAAAAAAATATATTGAAACAAGAATTTGTAAAAGAACTACAGTCAAACAAATAATCAAAGCATCTATTTCATACATTCTGTATTCTGTTCATATTTATCACATTTTTACGAATGCAATAACGTGAAATAGTTCTGAAGAAATAAACTATTGTATATTAATTCAGTAAAATGAAATAAATAGATCATGCACGTATAAATAAATTCTGATTTTTTTGCTATCTTACTTTATCTTACATTTCTTTGAAAGCTAAATAAAAAAAAACAGTCTATAAAAAAAACAGTGTAGAAATATATATCAAATTCCCTCATAATTTTGATATATTATCTATGATTAATCTATTCTTTCGCAGTTCTTATTGCTCGCAGCTTTCGTTGCGGTAGCGAGTGCCGGCGGGCCAGCGGCGTACGACATCGGCACATTGTCCGCTGATCACAGCAGCATCGGCTACAGCCAGGAGTCGACGCAGAAGGGCTACGCCGGTCAGAACGTGATATCTTCATACAGCCGCGCCGAGGACTCCGCGCACTCGTCGGTACGCGTAAGCAATAGCCACGTGAGCAACGACGCCCTGCTGGAGCAACACGCCATCGGCTACAGTTACGCCGCGCCGGCCTTGGCCAAACCCCTAATCGCCGCACAGCCCCTGATCGCCAAAACCGCTTATGCCGCCGCCCCGGCCTTAGCGACGTACACCGCTCACCCTGCCCCGTTACTCGCCAAATCCGCATACGCCGCCGCACCCGCGTACGGATACGCGGCCGCGGCCGCGCCGATCTTGGCCGCGAAAACGGCATACGCCGCCGCACCCGCTGCCTACAGTTACGCCAGCCCGCTCCTGGCCAAGACCTACGCCGCCCCGGCCCCGCTCATCGCCAAGACCGCCGCGTACACCACATACACCGCGCCAGCAACCCCCCTGATCGCTAAGGCTGCTTATGCCGCTCCTCTCGCCGCTCCACTCCTAGCCAAGTCCTATGCCGCCGCGCCGATCGCCGCTGCCCCGGCTCTCGCATACTCCGCTCATACCGCGCCACTAATCGCTAAGACTTATGCCGCCCCTTACTCGTATGAGACGGCTGCTCCCGTAGTACATGCCACCTTCAGCGGCTTCGGCACTAGCTATGCCTGGTAAATGATTCCAAAACTACAGATCTCTCATGATCGATCGGCGTGATTCGTTCCTCTGACAGTATCGTATTTCCTTCTGGTACACGCGCAAGATTGTCTACGTAGATGTGTATATAATATTTATAGTATATAATATTTTTATATTTATACCTCATTGTATACACGTATATTCTACTCTGTTTCATAAAAATTTCCAACAGAATTTCCTTCATATAAGAAATCTTCACGCGGAATACGTATTTTAAGGACAGAATGTGCTGTCCTGTTTACAGATTAGTTGCGAACAGGAATTTTATTGTATTAAATATGAATAAAACAATCTTGTTAACACGAGAACATTTTTTTTTTATTTTTTAATTCACATGTAACACGTCATTTCTAATGCAGATAAGCAGGCAGTTTAAAAATTTAATGCAGCAGTTTAACGAAAAGTGATCTTTCAATTAGTCTGGATTGAAAGAGAATTCTCTTTACGAAGTCGACATGAGTATTTTTTGTTTTCTATTTGCATGTTTTTTTATCTAAATGTGAATGAGGAGATATGAGACCGTATTGATCGTGTCTCGATGCTGAAACACGAGATCGAACCGTATATCTATACACGAGCCATCGAATATCATTAATTCGGAAAGTAATACAAGAAAAACAGTCACGTGCGTACACGGATTAAACAGTAAGCACAAAAGACTAGGAATGAGCTAGCTGAAAAGCATCCCAACATAGAAGAGAATGAATGGAGTGTCGTCTAATTTCCAGTTGGAATTCAAAGGAATTTGCATACAATGGATGATCGAAAAATACATCGATCGTACTTACAACGTTGTTGCACTTGAATAGTCGGCCTACAGGTCGACTTTCACGTATGACCGGTTTTTCGCGACATCAGAACATAATGATGAAATGATCGATGTGTGATATAATTTCTCATTTCAAACAGAATTTTCTTTTATTTAGTTCAAAGCTATAGATTTATAAATAAGTTTCGCTGCAGGTATAGATAATTGATCTTTTCTGAAGATCTTAAGTTAATTCTACCTATCTATCATGTTTACATTCAACAGGATTGGCAATTACTTTTCAATTACTTTGTTCGTTTTAGAAAAAAATATAAAAGAATTGATCATACACAATTATTATGCATAATTATATATATATAATTATACATAAGTAATTTTTTTATATTTTTCCAAACTTGATTTTTTTCTAAAAAAATAGTGCGAAAATTAATCTTTTAATTATTTTTAATGTTTTCACATTTTACTATTATTATTTTTATTACGCTAAAAAGTAATTTTACAAAAGAAAGAAGGATGTATGAACATGTATGGATATATTTAATATAAAATGATATATATTTATGAATATTTATACATGTTTATATATACGTATATTTATATAAGCGAAAATGAAATAAAGTAAGTAAAGAAGCGAAGTCAGAGGTTTTAACCAGAAAAGTAGAAAAATAAAGGGATAAGCAAAAATTTTTATAATATATGTGCGATAGCTTGCGGACGTATGGATGTATGAATGAGTTAAGAATTTAATTATAAATCAAGTTTCCTTCTTGTAAATGTGCTGTAAATATGCTGAAGTGTAATAAATTCTATTCTATATATTTATATATGTTCAAGCATGACAAATTTTTATCGCGTTATCACCATTACTTACTGAAAAAAGTAATAAATGACAAGTAACGCATAACGTTACAAATAATGAGTAAAAAATAATGCGTTGCAAATTAGGAATTATTTTTTTCAGTAACGAATGACTTTTTCAACCTGTGTACAAGTAATGATTGACTTTTATAACTCTGATAATCATTATCGTCATAAAAAATTCACAATGTCTAAATTACTAAATCGTTATTATAACAAGATAATGATCAAGAAAGTAACAATACTACAAGTAATGCGTTACTTGTCAACCCTGACATTTAAGTATTTGTTAGTAAAGAATCCTTCGATTGCAAATTAATAACCGCTCACATCGTTTTATAAAATTGTGAAAGCGAATAAAGTGGACTTGTTAACGTAATGAAAACGCTTTTACTTTTTAATTAACACATGTCGCGTTGTTTCAGATAAGCCGACATCGATTATAAAAAAATAGTTCAAGAAAAAAATATGAATTCTTAAAATGAAAAATTCAGGAAAATAATGCTATTCAAATAGCTCAAAAATTTTAGAATGTATTATGTATATGATGATGGTATCATATCATGTGAAGCAATGCAAAAATGCAGGTTTATAAAGTTTTGTTTGAAAAATATTATTTTAAAAGATAAACGATATAATCATACATATAATCACACATATAATCGTTCCAATTTCAATAACGATGTTTTAAAACTATTGATGAAACAAACTTATTACGCAGCAAGAACATTGGCAGAAATATATTAAGCATTGCTACTTATTGGCGAAAATAAAAATTGGAAGTCGAACGTAAGAGGAAACGCATAAATAAAGTTTCTTCTAAAAGACGAAAATTGAGACGACAAAAAAATATAAAAAGGCGTTTATACTTCTTTTAAATTTCGTTGTCTCAATTTTCGCCTTCCAAAAGTTTCGTTTATGCTTCTGTTATTCCCCCTTTACAGTAAACTTATGCTCCGATTTTTATTTTCGCCAGGGCAAACGCAAGAATCTCTTTAATCTCACGTCTTTGATTGAATTGCCGCCATTGTCGTCAAAACTCTGTCGTCATCGAGAACGACCGTAGCGACCATCAGCTGACACGAAATTGGCCGGAAACACCAGCTTAGATCAGCTGTCCGTACAGTTATAGAGTGCTCTACAGTATGTTTCCATTACAAAAGAACAGTGATTACGCAAATTGACTGACAATACTGAGATTGATCTCATCGAGCATCGATCGAAATGGAACCGATTTGCACAAACAGATTTTATGGCAGCAAAGTACAAAAACGATCAGCATCCCGATCCAAGATTTGTTGGGTGAAAACGCACCGGGTCATGCCATCGCACATATTGGGCCCGACCCAATACTGGCAGGAATTTCACAAACAGGCTGATGCTTTAGCCATGGCTGCTGAACGCAGCACAAAAACAGACACGTTATGCACCTTCGTGTATCAACGACCCAGCGACGGTAGTCGCAGATTCGTCGTAGCGCATCCGGAAGTTTATTGGTGGTATTACAAAATTAAACCACAAGAAGAGAGATGCTCATATGAGGTGAGCATGCAAAACGATTTGCGATTACGATTTATTTGTATTATTTACAGGAAAAACGTTTAGATATTTCAATTTTCTTAGATAGAATCACAATTTTCTTAGAAAAAAATATGAGATGAATATGTAGAAAATATGTAGTTTACGGTTACGTCTTACAGTTTTACAGAAAAAAACTTTAGATATTTTTCTCGAACGTGCGTATTTATAGAAAAAAACCATTTAGATTTTTCTTGAGCATGAAAAAAACATGCTTTAAATGTTAAATTATTTCCAAGAAGTGATAAATAAAAAAATAAGTATATATAATTATGTTACAATTTATAGAAGATTAAGAGTATATAATTATAATTACCTGTTCGATTGAATACTTTAACTTTTTGGACGAAATCTTCTTTATTAAGCAAAAAATTAATTGTTTTGAATTTTATCTTTCTGCACCAAAAAAAATCACAAATTTTATAGTACCCTCTATTATTTTATTCATTTCAAATTATATCTTTTTAATATGTAGAACAATATTAGATAATTTGTAAAAAACAATTTTGAAAACATTGAAATTAAAACCATTAAAGTCTATCAAATCTTCAGGTTGGCCTTCAAGTTTAATAAATAAAAAAATTGATTATTCGAAAATCTTATCAAAAAGCTTGTACATTTTAATTATTATTCAATTTTTTAAAATCATGTAAGTTCTCTGAATATATATTCTATTGTTGCTCATTTTCAATGTTTATTTTAGACTTTTAGAAGTCTGTGATAAATGCTTTTTTCATTCCGAAAACGTACTTCAAGAAAAGTCAAAGTTATTTTTGGAAAAAATTGAACTCCTCTTTGTGCACTAACCGATTTAATTAAAAGTAGCAATCTATTATGCTGAATGTTTCCTCTGTTTTTTCTTTTTTAAAAATTAACTTCTGCTGGAATAATATTATAGTGAAGGTAGTAGCCGTCTGAAAGTGATTCTAATACATAAACATTTTTCTCTATGTTTCAAAATTTAAATTGTATAACAGGGATATAAATGCCTTTTCACAATATATTTTAATAATACATACATATAAAAAACACACATACGCACGCACGCACGCATATATATATATATATATATATCTTCATAGAATAAATCAACAAGATACCGAAATTTATGAGAGCCACTGCGGTTGTTGATGCTAATTATTATATACAAAATTCACATAAAATTACAAACGTTTCTATTCTAGTTTGAATCCTTTTCAAATTAATAACAGCAGTTCCAATCTCTCTTCCAACTCAGTTCCAATCTAGTCAACGTAAACATTGCACAATGTTAACGTCTAGAATCCAAAAAAGATCCAAATTTCAAAAGAAGCTTAGTTTGCGAAATATTTAGACACTTTCGCATATATGAAAGATATATGTATGTGTGTATAAAGCTCAAAGAAAATTATCAATTTTACAGGTAATACCAAAAGATTCACCATGTTGGTTATATCTGGACTTGGAATATCCAATCGAATTAAATCCACTTTGCAATGGACCACGTATGACCAAAACTCTGATAGATATCATACGAGCGTATTTACTCAATCACTATCACCTGTTATGCGATAGAAGTAATTTTTTAATACTAGATTCTACAACCAGTAAGAAATTTAGCAGACACGTGATTTTTACTATGAAGGATATGGCTTTTAAGGACAACTCACATATTGGAAAGTTCATTAAAACTATATATAATGATATTTTATTTTATTTGAAGTCGGATACGCTATCGCATGGAATTTTAAATTATTTTAACAAAGCAGATATTGAGGAAATGCTCGTAAAAACACAGCACGGTGAAAAATTGTTTATTGACAATGGTGTCTATACAAAAAATAGACATTTTCGAATATACCTGTCCACTAAATGGGGAAAACAATCATATCTAACAGTTTCTACAGATTGCATGCATAATGTAGTGAATAAATGCAGAGAGAAGGAGTTGGAGATCTTTTTGGATTCCTTGATATCGTACTTTCCAAACAAGCAGAATTTAATTTTGCTCGAGTTTTTTAATCGAAGCGATGTAAAAACTAAACTTTATTCAAATGTACCAATACGATCCATTCGCGAAAATGACGACCAGAGCTCAGCATATCCTGAAATAGATAGGTACATTCGTAATCTCATCGATCCTGGCAAGATACGTATTGCTAAATATTTTGATAAAACTAAAACGCTGAGATATGAAATTTATGGCAATAGGTAATATAACTATAATAGATAATAAAAGATAATGATCATTTATTAGTTCTTATTTTTCTATATACATCCGTCTTGCTATTGTAAATGATAGTATTGTACATAATGTTTTTACATTATTTTACAGATACTGTGAAAACATTGGAAGATATCATAAGAGCAACAACGTATATTGGATTGTAGATTTGAACACGAAAAAGGTGTATCAGAAATGTCACGATGAAGACTGTTCGGAGTTTTTATCTACACCAAAGAATTTACCAGAAGAAATTCTTTTTAAATTAGACAAAGAAGGTGATATTTTCATGACTGGTGCAACAATAGATGAAGATATTACAGAGAAAATATAAAAATTAAATAATTT